CATCTACCCATAACCGATAGAAGGTTAATATCTGACTCAGTCAGGCAGCAAGTTCGGTTTCTTTTTTGGGACTTCTTTCAAAACTTTGAGCCCTTTGTCGAACAATTTCCATGTGTGTTAGACATCGTGACTAATAAGCCGCGGGACGTCTGCTATGCCCATACAAAACTTTCAATTAAGCTGGAAAACTTCAGCTCACCTTTGTGCCAGAGCGTTGGATACTTTTTGGGGAACGATGATATGTAGATACAATTATGAGAATTCGGTTTTTGTGCATTTCACGATTCGTGTTTGAAATGTAGATACCAAGATACGACTGCATCATCGCATGACATGGGGAAAAAGTCACGGGTTGACAGGCGGCCAATAAAACTGACAGAATGAATGGACATGGCTCGTGGATTTTCGACGGGATTATGCCAGTTTAGTCAAGTCAGAGTCCGAGTCTGGGTCCGAGGGTCCGATTGTCCGGACTTGATACTCGGGAATGCCAAGAGTGTTGACTGTGCCTAATTAGCTGGGTCAACCCTCCCCCGAAAAGGGTTTCGGCTGAGATTGCCAACTCAATTAGTGCCGACTGACCTCTGGCCGGTGGAATTGAACATCTGTCCCGTTCAAAGCAAATAATACAGCCTCTGGTGATTGCAAAATATTATGGTCTATATGGGCACTTCGGGCTCCTTCCGATTGGGAGCAATAAATTACGCGCAGGTGATCAATCACATCGTCACCAAAGCCACCGATCGTCAGCATATTTTGGTCAGCTTTCTGTGCACTTTTATGGCCCCAGATTAGGGGCACCAGAATCGGTTCTCGAAAGTTTCGCCACATGACGTTGATGTTGATGTTGTGTTTAATCAACAATTAAAACAATTTACTTTTAATTGAAATATAATTTTCTATTTGCACTCGAATTAAATATTATTATCAATTGAGCCGCCGGCCAGACGGCGTTCCAAGCACTCCGGTCTCTGTTTCCCGGTCTCCGGTCTCCGTTCTCCAGTCTACGGCCTCAGGCCCACTTAATCGCCCCAAAACGGACCCCATGTAATGCCACCCGGGCTCACAGAGTGTGTGTGCGTGTGTGCGAGTGGGGGATCTCCGTAAAGTGGCAGTGGCGCCTGCATAATAGAAATGATAATATCATTATATCATATCAAAATGGCCGTTCCCCAGCGGATGACTCACGGCCTCAGGGAACTGTACTTGAATGGTAGTATTCAAGGACGGCGAGTAGTCTATTGCAATTCAAATGTAATGGGTAATGAATATTTTAGACAAAAGAAGTATTGTTTTGATAAACTAACAAAAAAGTTCATTTCTCTATATAGCTTTGGTATAGAAAAACAGAAAAAATACCATTTTCCTTTTAATAGTTGTCTTAGAAATTTATTTTTAATTATTCAAATTAAACTTGACCTGATTATGTCGTTTAATTGTCTGATAAATATATAGCATGAAACAATTTATAATATTCTGTTCCAGCTTAGTAATCTTTGCATAACATTCAAGGACTTTGTTGTGACGAAACATTTGTATACTTTAAAATTGTTAAGTTCTTTAAATTCTTTTACAATCCATCAATACCTCTTTACATATTCAAGTAAAGTTTTCGAACAATTTTTAAAATTTCTTTAAGAAAGTAAAAAGGTCATCTCCTTGCCTTACCCAAAAACAAAAAACCAAACATATAACAAGTATTAAATATGTATTACATGAGTACGAAAAGGTGAAATATTCAAGTTGTTAAAGCCTAGATTGTTCTTAACATATGTTATGTGAAATTTTTTCAAATGTCTTCCCATCATAAAAGCCTTCTTTGACCAGTCTAGGACAATCACAGTTGATTCTTCTTCGGATTTCAATCAACTTTTCACATGAGAAGTGTGTGATGTACGGGAAGATACGCAAGAGTCAACAATCGTTTGACTGGGTTAAACCTGCAGTTGTAATTACCGCTATTTGAGATGTTATCAAATTACATTGACTCTGTGTGGCGCCCCTAGCTGTTGCACTTAGCCCCCTCCGCCGCCTCCCTGATCATCCACCCCCCCGGTAAATTCTGCAGCAGCGACTCTCGTTGTTTACATTGATTGTCAACAGTGTCACTTAAGCGCCATGGTGCCAGCCCACTGTCCCACACACCCCCTTTGGGATGGCCTTCAGCTGGGAGGGGGTGGCAGCTCTGTTGGCCGCGGAGTTTCCCTACTTTCCACCGCTTCGCTCCGTACCGCCCCGCCTCGTACCGTCCGCCCCTTTCCTCATCGAACCCGGCATTCGGAGCAGTGAAGTGGAAGCGATCCCCCGATAATGCTCTCTAAAACTAATATTACAAAGCAGATATCGTTTGGCGCCGGACAAAAGCGACAGTGCCGCCAACTGGCCGCGACATGTTTGACAACCCGAGCGACACCAAAAGCGACCGATGCAGCCGTGCCACTAACTGAGGCCGCACCGTGCCACAGTGAAACCAACAGTGAAACACTTAACAATGGACAAATTTTTATATTTTATAAAAAGAAAATAGGACGCCTTTTTACAATTTTAATTGGAATATCTGAAACATTTTTCAGCAAATGTACAAGAAATAAATAAAATACAAATTTTTAAATTTTTGTACCTTTTACTAATAAACATAATTGTATTATTTAAACAATCATGCAAAAAAAAGTTAAGCTTATTCATCTTGTGATCATATATATTCTGTATGCTTTCATTTTTAACAAGGAAATATTAATATACCAAAACTAATAAAAACTAAGATGATTTTATGATAATAGATTAACATATGTTACGTTTAAAGTGCTCACCAAATATAACAAAATATACACGACCCTAGTTTTTACTAAAAATATAACTATTAGTGATTAGTCCACAAGCTTAAAATAAAATATTGATTTAATTTAAGATTAGAGCTATAGAAAAAATAAACTCACGCGTTAGCGTTATATTTTTATTCATTCGCAAGATGTTATCAACAAAATGAAATTATGGCCAATTCCGATACCACTGTTCAACGATTGGCGGCAGTATATTGATAGCCCAACCGGAATGCAGTAAACTCTCAACTGTCACAGTTGCTGCTGCTGCTGCTGCTACTGCTACCGTGAATGTTAATGTGAAGGTGGTTGTGACTGTGACTGTGACTGCGAATGGCGGCGCAACTGCCGCCGCGTTTGCTTAGTTTTGTTTGCCTGTTTGCGGGAAAATTCAAATGTAGCCCAAGCCACTCGGCGCGGTAATCCTGGGGCTTGTTTTCTTAGACATTCCTGTGTGCATTACGATAGGAGCCCGTTTCCAGCCCGACTTGGCACTTATCGATCGATCCGCGCAAACAGTTCCCAAAGCACCGAAAGGTGCGCGCCAGCTACCGTGCGGATATTTCGACTGGATGCCAATTTGGGTATCGGTAGCACTTAGAGAGCAGTCATAAATTCATCACTCATTCGGCTCTGTAAAACTTATTTATTGCCCGTGGCTTCTGGTTTGATTTATTGCACTCGCAGCGACCAATTGCCTAAAAAACTGTTAAACCAACTCGATAACTAAACGGGATCGGCAGTTCATATTAATATTGCCACCGATCGGCACCTTTTAACTTCATCGCCGTCATCATCGAGCAGTTATGAGGAAACTCTTAAGATTCGTTTGTGATGGTCGCATAATGCTTATTAATTGATTTATGCTGTAGAAATGTTATTTAAGATTTATGATTGTGTTAAATGGCTTTTTATGAGCTTTCAGGGCCAGCGATTTATACACCCTACTACTGGTGGCTCCATAAATTTAATGTTGATAAAAAGCAAACCAAACTTTATTTTATAAGATCATTTTTTTATTTAATCAATTTCTTGGAACATATACTATTTGACACCTGTAAATTCTGCAATTATCCGCTTTCCCAACTCAATGCGTCTTAAAGGAATTTCCGCTTTAACAATCAGTCGCAAATCCCAGACAAGCCCACAAATATTATAAATCCTGAACCTCCCACAAAACAAAGTGAGAGTTAAAATCGTTACCAGAGGATACGAGTTAGAGATACGAATGCCCGCTGTCAGGATATTCCCAATATTTTCAAACAAACCTATTGAGCACATTAAATCCTTCTATGGAAAGGCAAACGGCCAAAAGGAAATATTTTCATCATCGTCGGCTTTAGCCACGGGGCGCATGTCAAATTATGAATAAAATGCAAAATCACGCAAACAAGCCAAAAGTCAAATGGAAACGAGAGAGTTTGGGGAAGAGGGTAGGACGAGTCGGCGAGGGTCGAAACTCTCACAATGATTAGCTGCGACAGCTAAAGATCAACGTTAAGGGATCGCCGGCCTCACCTGAACCTCACTCCCTTGGCCTGCCACGAAACCACAACAAAGGTAGACAGAGAAACCAATGTTACACTGAGGAAATCCCTTACTGTATTTAAAATATTCGAAAACTTTCCATATTTTTTTTTTTTTATTTTATTAAATTTTTAAGTATATATATAAATATATGAATATAATATTAATAAATAAATAAAAATAAAAATCATGTTCTATTTAAGGAAACTATTAGCGAAAATATACAAAAGATTAAAGTCAATCCTACAAGAAACATACAAAAATTGAGAAAAATATTCATGTACAAAACTAGAAGGCGTTTCTATAAGTATGTATGTATAATTATTTAAAAAAAGATTTTGCTTGTTGGGACAGTCAGTTTTTTTTTTAACTTGAACAAAAACACATTCTCGAGAGCAAAATCGTTAATTTCAAAATTAAAAAAGTTTTTCTATAGTTTTCTTCCCATTTTTCAACATTTTTTTTCACAATCGGACAGAGCCAGATTATAGCTTCTAAAGGGAAATATTGATTATATTTTAACTCCCTCATTTCGATAATCAGGGCCCTATAACAACTTAAGAGCTTTTTTTAACATTATTTAAAAATCGGCTATGATATTTTTATGCAAATTTCGCCCAGTGTTTCTCACAACCCTCTTTCTATATCTTGCAGCATCGAAACTACCTGCCAGCGGGATTGCCAGCATACACGACTACCAGATGAATGGGCAGCTGGACATGTGCCGTGGTGGCGGGGGCGCGGGCAGCGGCGTGGTGAGCGGTCCTGTGGGCGTGGGGGAAACGGATCCGGATCCGCTGGGATCGGAGGCGTCCTGGCCGTGCAGAACTCCCTGATGATGGCCAACAATGCGACGGCGGGCAGTGCCCATCCCAACGGCATGGGCGTGGGCCTGGGCAACGGGTCCGGATCCGGACTGAGCAGCTGCAGCCTCTCCAGCAACACCAACAACTCCGGCCGGACGAACTTCACCAACAAGCAGCTGACCGAACTGGAAAAGGAGTTCCACTTCAATCGCTACTTGACGCGGGCGCGGCGCATCGAAATCGCCAACACGCTGCAGCTAAACGAAACTCAGGTGAGAAGTCAAGTTTAACCAAGAAATTCAAAAGTATAATTAAGAAGGTTTTTTTTTCGTATCAGAACTTAAATTGACCTGTCTAGATATAAAATAGAATTATACATTCCTCATGCTCTTACATTATAAAATTTTTCTTTGAACAAAAAAAATTTAAACACAAGAACTTTTTTTTAAAATGAATAAATACTTAAAAAACAAAATGACCTAAATAATTTCAAAGAACATAAATTTTAGGCTAAAAAAATCTAATAATTTTATATAATTTTGCCATGTTATATATAACTGATCTTTTCTTATTATACCCTTGTAGAGTTTTTGTTAAACTAGGCATATTTAAACATTAATATTTTAACAGCTCATATGTCCGATTTTGCTAACCTCTTGTTCCCCATTTTTTCTTGCAGGTCAAGATCTGGTTTCAGAACCGTCGCATGAAACAGAAGAAGCGGGTGAAGGAGGGTCTCATTCCGGCGGACATCCTGACGCAACACTCGGCGCCCGTGATCAGCGAGAAGCCGCCGCAGCAGCAGCAACAACAACAACAACAACCGCCAGAGTTGCAGATGAAACCGCAGGGCAGCGATCTGGGCGGGAATGATCTGAGCTCGGGAGCAACTGCAGCACCATCAGCCACTTTATCACTAACAGCACCTACAAGCAAGCAGAGTTGAACACCTTTCTTCGTTGTAGCTGTAGTTGTAGTTGTTTTTGTTATGCTATTGTTGTTGCCGCCAAAATATTGACGCATTTCGTTGTGATAAATTAATAGAAAATGCACAAAAGATCAGAAAATCAGAAATAATCAACTAAATAAGGAAATACAATAATTAAAAAAAAATACTATGTCATACACGTAGCAAATTAAAATTGTAAATCCATACGAAACCGTAATCAAACGCTAGGAACTTGTGGAATCGAGGTGCCATATTCATCTAGGGGCTGTAAATACTTAAACTAACATTTCGCATTGCCGCAGCTGTAGTTTATTGGACTAGCATAAGCAAAACTCAGGGTTATATGAACAATTTAAAATACTTAAACGCACGCAGAGCAATTGACAAAAGAAGAATACAAACAGAATCAAAATGAAAATCCAAAACTAACATATTTAAATCTATTCCAGAACTACACCATTTGTAAGACCCCTCCCCATTCCCGCCACCACAAACTCGTCTGTAGTATTATTAGCTAAGTTTTAGGATGCCCCCAAGTTCTTCGTTTTGTGCTAGAAAGTAATCGGTAAAACAATTTTGATGTACGTCTGTATATTTAATCTAGTCCTAATTGTAATATAATTATAACTGTACAACACATTTATGAATAAACAATAAACAAACACCGATTGCAAATTGTTAATAAACCGTGTGGACAACTTATTTCGAGCGCGGGCATTACAATTATATCTCTGACGAATTGTGGACGTTTTTATTTTAGGTAATCGCCGATTTCCAAGTACACCGATAAGCAAAGTAACATTCGACTGGACTGGGGAATTCTGCCTGAAAGGGCAGCCACCAAAAACTGCCTTCAAACCATATAGTGTCTAGGATATCTTGATTAATTGGAAAACTAGACCCGTGGTCAAAATACCATATGCAAATCTATCATTGTGCGAACAGGCCTGACTTGAGGATTACAGTTTCATATGCATATCACATGTTGCGAAATATTTAGTTTTCTGGGATTTATTGAATTTATACATTTTGCTTTTGATAAATTGAATAATGTTAACGACAAGAAAATGAACCAGGAAATTCATCAAACCCCTTTGAGCAAAGCAGTTTTGCATATGGCTGATAGATAGGATTTTAAGACCACATTATAGATTGCAAAAAAAAAAAAAAAAACAAAAATATAAAACGAAATTATTTGGTTTTGTTGGTAGGAAATGATTCACTCTTTGATTAAAATAGTTGAAATCTATAAAGCGGAACTCAATAGGAGTTGGTTCTTCATTTCTTCTTTAAAGTGATAACTAAAATATTAAAAAAGAAAAACTACAAATCTATTTAAATCTAGCTTTGGGGCAAAGTCTATTATTATATGAAAGTTGCGCATTACAATACACAAAATTTTTAATAAACCTTTAGATAAACGGGAAACCGTTATGGAAACAAATAACAAATTTGTTAAACATTTTTCTAAGCACCTTTTATTAAAAAATTAAATTTATGAGAGAATGGAAAATAACTTATAACTATAGTTATAGTTCTATAGAACTTAGAACTTATATATAATAAAAAAGCAAAGTTTGCATGCAAATTTGAATTTAAAATCTTAAATAATGAATACCAATCAGTGAATTTGTATATGAAAGAAATTTAAAAAATGTTGATTTGTCAAACAAAAAAGATTTTCCAAAAATTAATTTTTTTCTGTATCTGTTTTAAATTGCAATCTTTTTTCCAAATTTTAGAAAATGCAAAAAAACATTTCAACAAATGTTAAAAAAAGCTTTATTGATTTTAGAAAACAAACGGACTACAATAAGGAGTCACGCTTTATATAAATGTTGCTTACAATCCACAAATATGTTTTTGAATCTCTACAAAATGTAGATAAATATGTAGAATAATGTGGAAAGAAAACTGGGATGTAAGTGAAAAAGGCGAACAAAGGGTAATTTCTTATTTTTTAATGTTAAGCATTAATAAAAATATTATTTTAATTCCTGTCTATTTTTTATTATTCCTGTTTATTTTATTAAATATTTTTTTAAGGCATTGCGGGTATATAGTGTATAATCAAATTTAAAATTAACACAAACAATGAAAACTTGTTAAAAATTACCCACCCTAAAATGTTTTTTTTTCATATTTATAAAATATTTGGTTACAATTCTGATAGTTTTAGTTTAGTTTACTTTTTGTAAAGCGTTTTTTTATTATTATTTAAAAATGTAGGTCTCGCTTCACTTTGTCATTGGATCTGGCAACCTTAGTGGACAAGAAAAAGATTGCCCATTTTTAGCGCTCTAGCTGTGGTCACACTGTCAATCTTCATCCACGAAATTTTGAAATTAAATTCCCTAAAAACTAAACGCAAAACGACGATGTGGTGTCCTCTTAATCAGCAGATCCGATTGTTTCAAATCGAGAATCCTCCAGAAGCCATTCACTATAACTTCCTGGAGACCAAATACGGCCTGATAATGATGGGCGTCATTAATCCATTCAGCGTGGATTCAAAAGACCAAGTCGCACTTTGTTCGCTTCACTTTGTGGATAAGCATGTCGTCAGGACTTATGATGAAGTGCGGAAACGGTGGCCAGGTTCTCCGCTGGAAAAGAACGACCCTTCCGTCCAGTTGATGGCGGATAAACTTTTTGGAGGCGACAAGGAGAACTCGGAGGTGATTCCAATCGTCACCAGGGGCACCAAATTCCAGCAGACCGTATGGTCAGCTCTTTTGGATGTGAAAAGTGGCGAAACATGCACCTATAAGCAACTGGCCGAGCGCATTGGACGTCCTACAGCCGTTAGAGCAGTGGCCAATGCCGTGGCCAAAAACGACATTGCCTTCCTCATTCCGTGCCACCGGATTGTGTCCCAAAATGGAGCATCTAAGTACCACTGGGGTTCAGCCCTCAAGCAGCAGCTCCTCGACGCCGAAAAGAACTCGAACTATTAAAAAGTGTTACTTGTATCTTTATTGAAACTCATCTCCGCACAAAGTTGTTTCTGTTCGGGGTGGTAAGGAAATCGAAAATGCAGACAGGCTCGAGATTGTGCACTTCCTACTTATAAATTGAACCTACAAAATAAGAGTGACCCATCTATTCCCGATGCAGTAGCACGAAAATGGCCAGAATGGAGAGGATGGCCCACTAAAAATACAGGGCAATTTTAGGATAAGTATGGGGAATAACTCTTACAGAGTCGCCCGACTTACCTTAACCTTGGGGTACTCGTTCATGAAGATCGTAATGATGCCCACGTAGGGCAGGAAGCCCCTGGCCCGGCCAACAATATCCTTTTTGGTCAGCCACAGCTGATTGGGAGCATACAGACCCCGATCGTCAACGTTGTTGTTGTCGCCTTTGGTCAGGAACTTGACGGAGCCATCCTCCCTGTAGAAAGCAATGCGGATTAGTAAGTGATTGGGTTTTTTACAGCAGAAAATACTCTTTTTCTTAAAAATAAGCTTGATGAAGATTTCCAAAACCTAAAAAGCCTATTACAATCTAATGACAATTTGAAACTCTTGTCCCTTTAATAGACAATAATAAATTCGATAGGCCAACTCAAACTAGAAAGACATCTTTCACGAACTACGCAGCTAATTTAATTCGTATTTATTACAAATGAAACTATGACGTGGTCTGACCAATTTAATATTAGAACTGAAAAACAAAAACAAAAACCCTACATTACACAAAATTTGGTGGTATTTCTGATTACCAACTCTAGGCTAAATTGTATAGGCTGTATGTATAAAAAAAAGTAGCAATCCAACTAAAAACACTACCAAATAGTCTCGCTAAATAGTATTAAATTGTAGCTTTACTTTTTTAGAGATGCAAAAGGGATATATCCATAGGAAAGTAGGCTTTAAAAATATATAGTACTCCGCTTTGCATTGTAACGTTTCCAATTCTCATTGGGTATGGTCCTGCCTCTACCATCCCAGTTTTCTTTAGAAAAGGAATAAGCCACATGGAAGGAACATTACCCTTCAATATACAAAGCTATCCCAGTGTCGCTTTACTTCCTAAGTTAAACATGATGGCTTGCAAACAGAATCTCAGACAAGCGTACAAAAATTCGGGCCTACATCAGTTCATACCAATATGGTTTACAAACTCCTGCTCTACTAAGTATCTACCCAGTATCTATCTAGAAACCAAGCTTGGAAATCCCATTTCAGCACTGTCACACTCACTTCTCGTGCAGCTTGATGACGCGGTGCACAATGGGTATGTCCCTGCCCTCCACCTTGAAGACGACGATCTCGCCGACGCGCACCGGCTCCTCCTTGTAGTTGGTGAGGAAGAGGAGGTCGCCGCGGTGGAAAGCCGGCTCCATGCTCCCGCTGAGTACCACCACGATCGGTGACTCGCTGCCGGTGACCACCATCAGGCCCTTCCAGATCATCAGCGCCGAGGAGACGATCATGGCGAAGCTCAGCACCTGGTACAGCGACTGTGGATGCGAATGGTGGACAATATGGATCAGAATGCCGCACATATACGTACATATGCATTTGCATATGCCCAGAGATTCGGTGCCGCTCACCTGACGCTTGTTCATTCTGTTGAAGTCGCCCAGCATCTCGTCGATCTGCAACATGCTGGCTACGCCCATGGCTGCGGCTGTGTGTTTGGGATCCTTGCGGAGGATATTAAACTAGCTAAATGCAAATAAACGGCCCCTTAACAAAACTTCTCGGCTTCGTCCACGAAGACAGAAAATTACAGACACGTATGTGGCGGTGTGACCGTTCGCCAGAGAGTCCAAATGCCAAACTTTATTCGCAATAAAATTCGATTTTCTGTGGAACTGTTGTCCGGCCACACTGTCTCTTTTTAAGAGTTTCCCGCCTTTAATTTTTTAAGAAATTACGTCAAATATGTTTGTAATGCCTTGTCGCTGGAAAACTTTGAGATGCCTAGGACCCTCGAAACCTATCTTATAAATGTTACACAATGTTTTAAGATGTACTCTTATGGGTTTGCTAAAAATGTTCAGTTTTTAAAATTATAATACCTTTTAAGGTTTTGAGGATTTATAAACAACGTTCAAGTTAATGTACATTTTCAAAATAAAATTCACATAAAATAAATAAATATAAGTTTGAAAACAGTTCGTTGACATTTTTTCCTAAGCCGCAGAGTTGTGATTAATTTAAACATAACTTTCATTCCATATTATTATAATTGAACTGTGCCTTCTTAAAAAAAATGTCTAATTTGAGTCTTATCCTCATTTTCTTTAAAAATTAATCATTTAAGACGTTTAACGGTTCTCCGTGAATGTTGTTAAAAAATAATCATTCAAGATTTTTAACTGTTTTCCGTGAATGAATACCCCATATATCGCCAGTGTTGCCAGACAACGCATTTGATAAGCAGGAGTGCCATCTCCAATAGTGAGACCGTAGCGGTTCGTTGAAATCCGCACTTGGTGTGACCGCATCCGGAAACGTGAAGTGAGCGCCATCGGTTGCGTTTTTTCGCGAAATACTTTTAGGGAATAAAACAGACGGAGCAACATGGGCGACAAGCTGCTGGACTCCACCCAGATCATCAATGGCCTGGCGGTGATGCTGTCCTTCTTCGTGGGCTACCGTTACGCCCTGAAGCGCGGCGACGCCAAGGATTCGTCCGCTGGCGAGGGAGCGGCGGCCTCGTCTTTGGCCGGATCCTCAGTGTCCATGTCCAGTGCTTCCGAGGCTCCAGTTTCGGACAAGGTGAGCATTGGACCTACTATCTGGGAATAAAATCAGGTATCCAGAAGGTGTTACATCGCTGTACTCCTGGTACTTAATACTTTTCACAGTTACCCTTACAAATGCAATAAAGCGCACCTACACTGATGGCCACAAGAATAGCAGTGCGATTTCAGGCTTTCAGAAATATTAGGGCAATCATTTTTGAATTGTTTTTTCGGTGTTTCTTAATGAACAACAACATTTGTACAGCATTTAAATCGTTACCAAGATAGATCTCAGAAAACACAGATAAAACAAAAGTTTAAATGACATTTTAAAGATTACAAACTGAAAAACCTAAGCAATGACGATTTGAATCAGTTTTTAGGATATTAAGGATTTATTTATTTAATAGGGCTGATATAGCCCAACAAGGCACACTAATTTAATTTCGTTTAAACAATAGTTACCTGACAATATTATATATTATTACTTTTGAAATGCGTATAATTACTTTATAATTTTGTTTTGGATATGTTATATTAATAATAAACCAATTTTTGCACCCTTATGAAGTGTGCAGATTCCACATTTACAAAATTATGGCAGCTTCCACAATGAATAGTATGTAACTTGCTTTCGATTTAAAATTTATAAGTTTTAAATGTGCTGGCAGCTGTTTTGGGTATATTATAACTGATGAAATTTGGCATGCACTGAAAACATTTACTCATTTATCATTTACCCATTTTCTTAGGGCTACGGAGGCTTCAACGAGAACTTCAAGATGGTGCTGGTGGTGCGCAACGACCTGAAGATGGGCAAGGGCAAGATTGCCGCCCAGTGTGGCCACGGAGCGGTGGGCGCCTACCAAAGGGCGGTGGCCAGGACGCCCCGCCTGTTGCGGGCGTGGGAAAACTGCGGATGCGCCAAGATCGCCGTGCGCGTGGAGAGCGAGGCGGAGCTGATGGCCATCAAGAAGGCCGCCGAGCGGCAGCAGCTGAACACGTGCCTCATCCGCGACGCCGGTCGCACCCAGATCGAGGCGAACTCCAAGACTGTGCTGGCCCTGGGTCCAGCGGCTGCCGTGGACATCGACCGGGTCACCGGCCACCTGAAGCTACTGTAAGATCCGCACTCCGGGAACTCTCGCAGGCCATGAGGCATCACATACTCACTCGAGTGCAACCCGACAATTCTCAAAGCAATAGGGCGCATGGGTGGAGCGGTGGAGGAGGCTGGAGGTGGCGTCATGCCGCCGAGGTGAAGGAGGAGGCAAAGGGAAGGCGACGACTGTGACACGCAAGTTAAGCTAAGATTTACGTTATCACGTTAACTGTGAACCAAGCTGTTACACATTAAACGATTGGCAGTCCGGCCTGGATCTGCATAGCTCCTAAACAAATAGTTTTTGTGGGGACTCATTATGCACAATGCACTTGGAATTTGCTACTAAAAAATTAATTTTTTTGTGTTGAGTAGAACAACTATATATTTACTTGCATCCTAAAAAACATTTTGTAATGAGGAATTAAAGTAAAGTTGGCTTTCTATCCTTAAATGCTCACAATGCTAAAGCACTTATGATGAAAATAAAAGGTCGCAATTATGTCGGTGCCTCAAATGGAAATATTTATTTATGTAGAAATTTTCAATTGACAGAATTTTATTTGAATGACAAATAATTGGACATCAAAAAAAAGTTGTTTAACTTTAAAGAACTTTAGCATTTTCTTTGAATAATCTATAGGATAACATTTTTCTTGCTTCGTACAAATATTAAATATATAGGTTCTACTTAAGCACTAGAAAGTCAAATGGATTTCTTTCGTTTAAACTGATAGTTAAAATTGGTAAATCAAGATATTTTGGACAACCAAATCTTTTTAAAAATTATATGTTGGCATGACTTCACGTTTGAGAACGATTATAACATTTTTAAATGGACTTTCAAGTTAAGCTTAATGAGAAATGATAATCGTTCCAACGGCACAGAAAAATATTGCGTATAAAAAGGGCTTTTGCTTAATGTAATTTTTTTTTTGGTCCTTAAAACTATCAATGATTAAAGGTCATACTCAAGCACTAGAATGTCCAGGCGTAATCATTGTCTCCCTGCGGCGTCTGCTGCTGCTGCTGCAGTTGCTCTGGCTGCAGTTGAGGCATTGCCTGCTGCTGCTGCATCACTTGGTGCTGCAACTGCTCCATGCCCTGCACTTGCTGGTAGTCCAACTGTGGAGGCTGCTGAAAGTCCTGTTGCGGAGGCTGCTGGAAGTCCAACTGCGGAGGCTG